CTCTCTTCTCTCGCTCTATCTCTCTCTCTATTCTCTCTTCTCTCTCTCTCTCTCTCTATTGACTCTCTCTATATCGGCGCTCTATCTCTCTCTCTTTCTCTCTTATCTCGCTTCTCTGCTCGCTAGACTCTCTCTCTCTCTCTCTCCTCTCTCTCTCTCTCTCTTCTCTCTCTCTCTCTCTCTCTCTCTCTCCCTTACTCCTGCAGATATCGACGATCTCCGTAGCCTGGACCAAGTCAGTCAAGCGCGAATCAATTTAACGTTCAGCACCGTCCACTTCAAAGGAATGTGTGGATTTTCGACTTGGCAAGGAGTGTAGCTCTGTTTAGTTGTAGTAGCTGTAAATAGTTTGCAGCTATGTCATAACACATACTTCTCCATACTTTTCCTTGACTTTGCAGACCCCTCCTTGGGCTTAGCTACACCAAGCCGAAGGAGACATTCCAGGTCATAACAACCCTTGGTAAGAAGGATGGCCGGCTGGCTGGCTGGCTTGTTCTGTGCGACGGCTACAGCTTCTTGGGCAAAGTGTCCAAGGCACTGACTGGCACCTTATTCAATACATTTACGTCAAATCACAGCGACGCACTGTGGTAGACAGCAAGAAGAAAAGTGAGGGTGATGACATGACTCGCGACCAGGACAAGGCAAGAGGCAGAGGCGGACCGGCGAGAAGAAGTGGTGGAGTGACTGTTGTGTGAACTTGAATGTGTGCGGGGAAACACCTGGTATATTGCGTTTAGATTCAGCTTATTTGCCAATGTCATACATAATATATATATATATATATATATATATATATATATATATATATATACATACACATGTATAATGGCTGCTGTTAATCTGTACACTGAATGCCTGTACATTCAATCACGATTATTGGTGCGTTAGGCTCCGATTTATGATTTAAACATCTTTCAAGCAATTCAAATTGTATCAGTACATAATAAATTTTCATCGCGTAAGATTTGAATTCTTGCTACTATAACTTAAAAACCAAGATATTGTAATGCATCGCTGATTGTTATGGTATGTGCAATGTCGCTGCACCAAACACCGCGCCGAAAGCATATACTGCATTGCTTTTTAACATTCAGGGCAGTACCTAGACTAAAAGCCGGCCTCAGGCAGGGTGGCCGGTGTTTTCCTAGCGTACAAGCCGAGGGAAGGCAAGGAGAAGTTGTAGGCTTACATGGCGACAATAAGATGAAACCAAACCAGAAATGAATATTTCCGAATTTGGACAAAACTGCCATGGAATCAAAACAGCTTTTCAAAATATCTTATTCGTGATACAATTTGCGACAATCGTGTTTGGTTGCTGAGTAAATCCCAACGCAATTCGACAACCGAGTGCCGACTTGGGGTCTGTTGAGCAATGCAGACAATGTTGCGCCCCACGTCAAGAACCAGAAAAGTCTACGATCAGGGCTATTTTGGTGTTCATTTTATTAATGGCCTTATGCAAATCAAGAAGGAACGCAATCCATGTTTGGCAATTTTCGCAGAAAACGAATATGTTCACCCTCTGTTCACGGGAGACATATTTTTGTCAAGCAGAGCGAAGAGAATAGTCTCTTCGCTCTGCATGACAAAAATATGTCCCCCGTCCAAATACTGATTACTGATTATACTGATTCAGGTTACCACGTCTTTTGCCGCTTAATCCAGTTTGGTTACTTTACCTAGGCCACATCAAGCCTTCTTGTGTAACGTTTATGATACGCTTGTACTCCTGCCGCCACGGGATCAAGCATATTTCAGGCTACAATCCAATTATTTATGAAATAAGGCCAACACTGATCCTCCAAGCGGCGAATCGCAAGGAGGCACAGACACAACAAAGTCGGCCTGAAGGTTTCCCACCATTCGTGCAAGCTAAATGCCTGGCTAACTCGCCGCTGCGCGAGTCAATTCGTACCTCAATCAATGCTTAGCCGCGGGATGGTGACAAGTAATCGGCAGCCTGCTACGGTAGCTACCGCTACCGCTACTACGGTAGCTACCGCTCACAGCAGTCCGCGCAGCCAGCTCGCCGTGGGCAGAAACTCAGGAGGGTCGGACAAACGTGCCCACTGAGCACCTCAGGCGCTGGCATTCGCTCACTGTGCACCAGACGCGCAATCTGCACGGCAAGAGGTGTGCAGATAAACTGCCATCGTGCGTGTCCGTGGACGCGACGACACAGTGGTGAAACACCGCTTTGTCACACAGCACCGGCGCTGTAAAGCATCGCTCTGTCTCCCAGCACCGGCGCCGTTTTTAAACGACCGTGAAACATCGCTCCGCCACCCAGCACCGGCGCTGTTTTTAGGTACGACTTACCCCATCCGGCAGACGTAACATGGCGGCTAGGGGTGGCGACATTGAATTAGAGCGGCTTACCTGGTTGCACATGGATGGCTTTGAATCACCAATGAGATACGCCTGCAATGGCTGCATAACTTGTTGCGTTTATGACAGCCTCCACACGACATAACTGTCAGCAACAGTTATGTCGGTGCGTGCTGCAATGACCCATAATATGGCCCAGTTTAGTTGTTCAGTGCATTGGCGGGGAACATCATTCACATAGATGCAATGTTTCTGCTATTGTTTCGATGATGGCATGCTATCGAAATATGAACCCATCTATATCTCCACTCTCCTGGTTTTTCTCCGAGGAATAAGACTATTACTACTGCTTTATCTATGGTTTAGTTTAGCCGGAAATCCATGAGATGACGGCCCAGCGACGTTATGCCAGTGCGTTCTACCATGCCCCATAATGTGGACGGATTTAGCATCAACTTCATGACATGAGACCCAACGGCGTTTATGCCGTTGCTTGCTGCGGTGCCCCCAAAATGCGGGTGGGCTTAGCCACCATTGCATGGAAGTTCTTTGGTATTTATGCCGCAAAACTCACGGTCGAATCTCTTTGCATCAAATGCCTTCGTACCGAATTTCTTCGAGCGCAAAATGTCGCATGCATATCCTCCTGTCCGAAATGCTCGTATGGCACATTTTCACATTCAGATCCTGGATTATGCGAAATATGCTATCCGCAAACCGACTCGCGCGTATTTCTTCGACGCAAGAATGCCTGTTTGTATGCATTATCATCCACATTCGCCAACATCCTTTTTTTATTGGTGCGCACAATATTGTGGTTTGCTCATACACAAATACCCTGATGCATTGGTCTCCTTATGCGCAAGATTTACCAGCTATTTTCCCCACTTGTTGCATACCAGTTCGAGAGTACTGTAAACGCTTTTCAGACCTTACAATAAAAAATCATCTTTTGCGACGGACTGCAAATTTATGGCCCGGGCAAAGTTGTGGATGTTTGTGGAAACAACTTCGATTTTGCCGGGTGTTCTGAGATATCAATATTTATATCTTTGTTTTATTTTTGCATTAGACTATCAAAAAATTAAGCATACCACGCAGATGCGCGCGTTTGAACGTGACATGGCTTAACACGCTCCCGGGTAGTCCACTGAATACCCTTCGCTGGGGCGGGGGGGTCAGTTTGACCCCCTGAGATCTCTAAAATTAAGAGAGCCAGATATACTAACTTCCCAGTGTGTGTCGGCCAGTACGCGAACTCACTTGCATCATTATCTAAGGTTTCTTGGTCATGACTTTCGGGTCAGATAAGGTCAAACAATGTTGAACTTAAAGGGAACTTTCCACATTTGAAGACATTGAGGTAGGCATCAAATATGGTGGGAAAAGCTTGCTGGTAACTATTGGTAAGCTTTCAAGGCTCAAAAGCGACTCTAAGTAGCCAAATTTCGAAGTTTGTAAAATGGGCCCCATTATGTCATCGTTTGATGGCGTCATGGAATCGTTTTGTGACGACGGCATTACCTGGCAGCATCTAGCAGCCAGACGTAAAGAATGCCTCAAAACGTGCAAAAGCTGACGCTAGCCGGCCAGCTGGTGTCCAAATTGCCGCCAGGCCTTTCCATGCAACCATCGTGAGCCTAGATGCCAATCTAAGCAAAAGGTCATCCATGCTTGATTAAAGGTCAGTGACGTTTTTGACCTTTGAAGGCTATGGCGACCAAAATCATACAAAACTGCCTTGATTTCGCATATGAAGAAGCGGCAAGGGCTATGTTAGGCGGCATGTTCCTTAAAACAAAATGTTGACCTAGTTCATTATAGGTCAGTGACCTATTCCGACCTCAAAAACTCCACAGAAGATGCATAATGCGGTTCGTGTTATCATGATATACAAAATGGGTATCAGAAACTACCCCCAAACTTGTTACTTAATCGAAGAGGTAGGAATGTTAGGAAGTGGTTGCTGTTTTTACGAATACCTAACATGTCTTACAATGTATCATGAATGCGAGCGCATGCATATGTGTTTCAGATGTTAGATACGTGGTAAGTGTAGGCGGGTGACGTAGCAACACGATTAGAAGGAACAACAGTGATAAGGGGTATTTCAGGTGTTATTAATTAGATCAAATGTGTTGTTTATGTACTGGCTCGATGTTAATGTTAAATAAGCCGGGTGTGACATGAGCTTACTATTCATGTGTTGTAAGTGTGCCGAAGCTCGCTGTTTGTCCTTGTGTAGGAAACTGAAATATGTAAGAACCTTGTTTTCAAAAAGTCAAGAAATTCGAAAGGAGCACAAATAACTACCGCTTGAAGCACGTTCTTCAGCGAAAAAAGCGGTTTGGGTTTGACCTCGTTCCGACCTTCATACTTACATACGTTTAATGGCATTTGTCGTAATCCTGACCTCAACTGGCTAATTGTCTAAGAAAGTATTTCAGAAATTTGTGGCTTCGTTTGAAGAGTGTCCTACCTAGGGGCGCATTTGATCGCACTTGCACGAATAAAAGAACGTTTGTGATTGGTCCAGCGGGCAAGGGCCGAGAAGCGCGTTGGTTGAAGTTTGAACCAGTGCGTCACATGGATAAGGTGGTACTTTCACATCCCAACCCAAAGTGTGCTGCGATAAATGTCATTGTGGTTAACGCCATAGCGAAGTAAGCAAAACCATAGTACAACGTTTCGTTGAATTCGCGAAATAATAGCTTTATGCTCAAATCTCTTTTTGTTTAAACAGAATGTTTCAGGTTTCGTAACATTTATTACACGAACGTTTTGACACATTATTGGGTTGCAAACACTACAGAACACATCCGTCGGAAAATCTAGTCAAATTAAAACCATTTCTTGCATAATGGAGAGGATGGTGCCAAATGCGATTTCTCCCGCAGGGTAAGCTGCTTCACATAGAAATTCTGAGCTTTTCAGAATTTCGACAGAACTCATGTCACTGATCAACTCACACGCGTCTGATGTAGCAATAAGTGAAAAGTAAAGGGTGGAGCATTCCCTTCAGTCTTATGTTGTTGCATAACCTTGAACGGTTCCACAGCATTGTCTTTGCTGGTAGTTAGGGGCTGACTTCCACCTCCGTGGGTCAGCGACAGGACCATGTACATCTAACTGCACACCCCTAAATACCTTGTATTCAGTTGTCTACAGGTATACAAAGTTTGGCGCGTCTTAACGGCGCTAAAACTTTGTCATTAATGAAATTGGAGAAATTGGAGATTAATGAAAATGTTTACCTCCCCATATACACGTATGATTGTCGTATATCGCTGTACAGCTACCAACGTTAGAACGACTACGCCACACCGGTCATAAACTAGTTTTGAAAACCTTCGGAAGGGAGAGCGACCAACTTGATCCCCGACACGAATGCTTGTTAATAATAACAAGACATGCTGCAGTCCTTTAAACAGCACACGCATTTTCTACACTACAATCACAGTAACCTCATTTTCATCGTTGTTTTTAAGTTGCTTTTTTGTATCTAATGAAAGTAGTTTGCTTTGAATCTAAACCCCATACAAGTATTGGTCAATGTTACTCTTGGTGGCATGGAAAAAGCTGAGTTGAAAAATGTGTCACGATGCTAAATTGAGTTCTTTTTTTGCGTACCACTCGCATGCCCCTGAAAATCTAACTTTAATAAAACAGCATATTTTGTAGCGGGATGGGTAAGTCAATGTGACCTAATTCAAGGGCAAAAAGGAAATTAGAGTAGGGTGTGCACTTAAGCTCCCAAATTCAGGTCTACATCCGTTAAGGTAGCTAGATGTTTAACACACTCTCTGCCTCCCCATAGAGACGTATGTTTGCCGTATAGAGCTGCGCACCTATCAACACTAAAACCCTCCCTCCCCCCGCACCAAAATGCGTGGTTGCTCTCGCCTCCAAATGCGAATAGTAACAGCTGACCGGATAAATGATGCAATAAGCCTCACACACCTAGTGCCATTAGACGTGCAATGGTTTATGAGGTTAAAATGAAAAGCTCTTGAGTACAGGGATGACCTTTATGAGCTTTCATCGTTAATCATCAACCAAATTACAGTAGACTTCTCACAAGCAAAATGCGTACCAGCTCATATCCCCACCATGGAAGAACGTCTTCGGCGCCCAAAGGTACCCTCTAAAGGGGCCTCTTCACTTGGCGAACAGAGGAGGCGCGCGCGTTCAGCGCCTGCTCCCTTGATCTACCCCTGCATGACTACTACTCTACCTGAATTAAAGACTTTTTATAAGTTACACAAACACCAGAAATACACCTTATCTTCCACCAAAATAAAATGTGTTACATCCGGCGAGAAAAATGGGGTGAAAAGGTAGTTAGGCCTTCGGTTCTGCCCACCCACAATAGTTTACAAAACTTGACAACCTACGCGGTGAACCAAGTATGTTTGAAAAGCTTGGGTAACATGCTTTTAGAAAACACTTAAAAGACACCAAGAAATAACAAAATATTGCTCATTTAACTCATATCATCAATTCATATTTCAGAATGACGCTATTTTTGCCGTCTGGAATGATTTTCCAATAAACATCTCAGCGTTTTTAAGAAGACTCTAAATTTTATTGATTTCGTAGCCTTATGCTAGTAGCATAAAGCAGGGACTTCTAATTTTTGTTGGGCAGCGTTATGAATTACCTGATATTGCTAGATTTTTCGTTATGAAATGTCTACAGTATTGTGATAAATATTTGTAAAAACCTAAAAGCTAGTGGAAATTAGTTCTTAAGAAACTTATGATAAGCAGATGGTATTTTGCCTCGACGAAATTTGACAACACATTGCATCAACATGGCGGATTCACTTGAAAGTAAATGCGGAGAATGAGGAGTTAGGCTATCGTTTGCGATAAGGATGGTAGAGCTGAGCGTCTGAGATAGCTACTGTTGATGCGCTCCGTGCACTATATGCATTTCATACGTCTGTGAGGCGTGATCTAGCTTGGTGGATGGGATTGGTCTGCACCCTCTTGTTGACATTTCTGGCTCGTCCAGAATTGGACCAGATTTGAATTTCGAAATGGGTTTCATTAATCTTGTCTAGCCCGTGGGCTTTCCAGGAGTTATTCTTACAGTGATCGTGGCCATCACAGCTATGAGCTGCCAACAACAACCTTATGCAAGGACTTGTCCTCTTAAAATAGGTGTTTTATGAAGCCCTGATAGGTATACAACATGCTGAAGCATATCAGGTGTAGTTGATTGTGCTTGGAAACTTGTTATGGCATTAAGTCATGTTAAATGGATGGAGTTTCAATTTAGATAAAATCCAATGCAAGCCCTGAACTTGTATCTGTCTAGTAAAAATAACTGGCATCTCAGGAATTTGTGGGTATGTTCTGCTTGGGCGAGTGATGTGATGTGTAGACTGAATTTGTTTATTGTTGATGCATGAATATTTAGATGACTGCTGTTTCGGTGTTAAATTTTGGACATCTTGGTCATACTTCATGGAAGTTTTTTGGCTGAAAGTGTAAAGGTACACTGATTTATATAGGATAAAGCAATACAGTTGGTGTCTGGTTCACTACATTTTAATTTTTTATATGGTGGCATTGTTGCCTGAAATTTTAAACAAACTGTTTAATTTGCTATTGTGTTGGCACCATTTTTGCTAAAATGGTATGCACAGGTAGACCTGTTATTGTTTTTAACTTGCTGTGGTACTTTGTTCTGGCAAGCAATGCTAGCTTCTTGGAGGATATTTCATTTTGAGCTGCTCATTAAGGTTAAAATTGGGTATGCCTGAGAGTATCTGATAACCAATTTGTATAGAAGACATTGCTTTATATTCATAATTAATTTGTATGTAATGCATTCCTTGCACATCACTGATCCTAACTGCTTTGAAATATGCACAAGGCTGTGTTATTTGAAGATTTAACATGACTTAACCTAATCTAACCATGCCTTAAAACATGATACCAGCTGACATATATATGACCCTACATACCACCAATACACAACAAGATTTGGCTGACACACTCAAAATGTACAGGATATCTACCTGGCAAGATCCCTAGACCCTAAAACAGAATGTTGGATTGACAGCCAGCTGAACATACCTATGACAAGAAGGAAAAACAGTGCAGAGCCCTTTTGGTTCAGACAAGGTTTACTGAATTCAAAAATCAAGCTAAACATCCTTTATCACATTTGAATACAGATGTATAGAAAAATTTATCTGATGTAATTGACCTAATTTATAAATATATTTTAACTGTTTGAGGCCATATGATGAGCCAGTGTAAATTTACCAAGATTATGCTTTGTAGCACGGCTGTTTTCTCAGTCTCAGTAGACTGTAATGTAATTTTGGCATGAAAAAGATCTATGAAAAATGCACTGGGAGGTTATGGACTGCATGACTATGCCTGCCAAGTGATGGTACTGTCTCCCATATCCCACTATTGCTGCTGTGTTCTGATCATTCCAGACCAGACATGTGCCTGGATCTCAGTAGTAGGTCTGGAATCCCAAATGGTTTCATTTTAAGAGGTCTTTTTGGTGCTCCAGGCATGAGTCTGATTGTGAATTATGTTTCATGTTCAGCTTTTTAGTGGTGATGTATATTGTAAATTATACAAAAGCATCTGGCAAGAAGCTCAGTCACATGGTGTTCTGCAAAAAGTTACAATCTGAAGTTGTTTGCATTCCACACCCTAATGGCTTTGAAAGAGCTGCTCCCCTCCTGAACTCATTTTCCCTAGTTGCTCAATAGTGCTGAATTTGGGAAACCTCAGCTCCATTAATTTCACAACAAAAGCCCAGGAAGCATAACATCAAGGTTGAGGTTGCATTATCTGATAGTTACTGAACTCTTCCTTTCATCCTTCCAATGCTGCCACAAGTACTGCTGTGTTCAATCCATGGAGTTTGATGAAGAATGTACCAAATAGGTGTGTTACCAGAATAACAGAGTGCATATTTTACTAATTGAATGCTTTTAATCACATGTGTACCATGCTTAGCTGTCACCTCTTCTAACTTGCAGATGAATCTGTTCAAGCCCTTCTGACAATAAAAAATGGTGGCTACTTCATGAAGGGAGAAGCAGACAGCACTTTGGTGACCACTCAGATTGAAGCAATGACAGATGAAAATAGTGGAAACAAATCACAAGGGCAGTATATCAGCCAGCATTCAAGTGAAGGGAATCCTGGCTTCTTGTCTGCTTTAGGGCTGCATCCTGCAGGAGAAAATGTCATCAAGAGAACTCCTGAAAAAACTGTACCACCTATTTTTAATAGGAGAGGCACGGTGAGTTGCTGCGGTGGGGGAGTGTGCTGATGTGATTTATATCAGCATGCAGTTAGCAAGCTCAGCGGGATTGGCTGCCTGTCAAACAGTGAAAATGGCAGAAGTGAGTTTCATGCAACTGCAGTTATGCAATTAGGTGTTGAGTATCTTGTGCTTTTTATGCTTCTTTTTTCATGGTGAATATGTTGTGTTTGCTCTTTTTAGTGTGAGTTCCAGGGAGCTGCCATCCACATGCTGTGCATGACGTCACATCACCTTGACAGCTTGTACAAGTCTAACGCGTGCTGTGTCCGCCACCAGCCGCAGCGGATCCGCAAGAAGAACCGACTCTACTTCGACGACGACCACGTCAGCGCTCCCACGTTTCGCTCCTCACCCAAAAAGTCGCCGGCGCCAGCCAGGGAGCGGACCTTGGTCCCGGCGCCGATCGCCGCGCCGCCGCGACCCGCCGCCACCACCCCCAAGAAGGCGCTGAGCCGGCCGGCGCCGTCCGAGTCTGCGCCAGCGCCAGCGCCGGCGCCAGCACCAGTGCCGGCGCCAGCGTCGACACCGGCACCGACGCCAGCACCAGCCCCGGTGGACAGCGTGTACGCGACGGCCGACCGGCACCGGGAGGCCCACGACCTGGGCTTGCGCCTGCGCAACCTGCTGAAGCTGCCCAAGGCACACAAGTTTGTGTGCTATGAGTGGTTCTACAGCACCCTCGACGAGTGAGTGTCCGACCCCAGCGGGTAACGTGACGGATCGCTGTTTCTGCTCCTTGGTTCGTCATTGATGCCATCAAACTTGGTCTGTAAGTGGGTATTAAATAGATTATATTCGTAACATGTGTACGTGCATGTGTTTATTTAGTATTTCAAAATATTTTTTCAGAACAGCCAACAACCATTTTCTCACCAGCGATGTAATAATCTGGCATGCTTGCATTAATCTGGTGTGTATTTGTACTTATGAAAGCATACGGTTCAACCTTATGGAAATTAGTCTGTCCTTATGACAACTGCATGACTTTTGGCACTCTAAGCTGTCTCGCCTCTTGGTGACGAAGCATAGGTTTGCTTACTGATAACGGCGAATTGTTGCAGGTGTCTGTTCTCAGGCAGTAATGACTTCTTGATATGCTTGAAAGAACAGTACCCGAAGCTGAAGACGACGCTTCTGACTCGAACAGAGTGGTGCAAAATACGGAGACAGATGGGGAAAGCCTAGGCGGTGTTCACCAGTGAGCAGAATGTCTACACATTTCTCATTGTCAATCAAAAGATTGATTGATCCATTTTGCTCAAGCATGGGAAGGTTATTTATGTAGTGGTTAGATAAGCATCAGTTTCTGTTCATGTTTGTGTTTTAAGCGTGGATTGTATTCCTGGCACTCAATGCATGTGCTGACATGCATGTATATCATACTCTGTCTGATACCTTGTACTGGGCTGTCTGTGTGCGGACGTCCTGTGTGCATACGGCTAAGGCTGCGGGTGCGGCCGCGCGGCAGGCGTTCTTCGCCGAGGAGCGGGGCGTGCTACAGTCGATGCGACAGAAGGTGCGCACCATGCAGAGCCAGCAGCGCCGCTCCTTCGACCGCGCCTTCCTCAAGAACCTGCCCGACGAGATCCCCGTGCAGCTGAGCATCGGCACCCGGGTCACGGCCCGGCTCCGGCAGCCGCAGGACGGCCTCTTCACCGGTCAGTGGTGGGGGAGGGGGAGAAGGGGCGCTCACGGCCGCGGGACCAGAACCCTCACTGGCGTGTGGGTTCTGGTCAGGTGGGGAGAAGCGCAGCCATGGGGTGGATCTCTTCACCGGTCAGTGGAGGGGCCGCTCACGGCCGCAGGACGGGCCGCTCACTGGTGTGTGGGGCCTGGTCAGGTGGGGAGAAGCACAGCCACAGGACGATCCCGTCACTGGTCAGTCAGACTGACTATTAATAGGCACCGAGAGCTCCCGCGGCCACAGCACGAGCCAGGGACTGTCAGCACCTGTACTGCCTGCTGCCTGATTGGTGTCAAAAGGCAGTATAGGGTTGGATGACACCACTCTAAGGGTACCAGTAGTGAAGTGGTCAGGCAGCATATGGGAAACCGGGGGCCCGGGGTTTGATTCCCCTGGTGTCCGTCCTTTCCTCCAGGATGAAGGGCAGGCAACGCCACCTAGCCCCAGCAGCTTAGTACATCGTAAAGCCCAATGACGGTGACATGATCCGTGGCGCTAACAATGCGTGGATTCATCTGTAGCTCCCGACCGAGCGATGCCGACATCGAATGGCTCGCTGCGTTGCCGGGTCAGGCCCCATATGTGGTTACATTTATGGTCATCAAGGATGGCTGCACTGGTGGAAACATCATACTCTGCCAGCCTGCACTGGTCATGCATGTGGGTCCTCACATTTTGGTGTGCTCAGCTGGCTGCAGCTGGTCGGACGCGTGGGTCGTCCTGCCAGTGTACACAGGGCAACAGCATGACATCGTCACTGAAGCCACAGCCCCTGCGGCTCACCCCTCTCCTCCGTCCCCCCAGGCATGATCCAGGCGCTGGACGCGGTCAACGCCACCTACCGGATCCGCTTCGAAAAGGCCGGCCTGGAACCGCAGTCGGTGCCCGACTACGAGGTGCGCGCGCTCGAGCCGGTCGACACGGTGCCGACGGCGAGCTTCTGCCGGGCGGCGGCGGCGCGGCCGGCTGTGTTCAGCACGCCGCCGCGCTTCAGCCTGCCGGAGCTGCGCTCGCCACTCGCCAACGACCCGCTCATGTCTGCCGGCACGCCTGCCAAGTCGGAGCTGCGCCTGCTCGACCCGCAGGGCGTCGTCAACGGGTACACCATCAAGTTCCTCGTGCACGTGGTGAGTGCGTCAAGAGGGTGAGAGGGGGTGCTGCAAGGGATGTATGGTGTCGCCCCGAATATATGCTTGTGAACAGCTCATCAAACTCCATTTTGAACTGTTTTTGTCAGTACAGGGGGCACACTGGTATGCAACAGCTGTGCATGCTTAGCACCACTGTCACCTTCCACTTATTGATCAAAATGTTGATGGTGGAGTTTGACAACACACTGCTGACATATGGTGGTACTGTCACACACCTGGCTGTTTCACGATGGCGTTGCCAGCTTATCCACGGACAGCAGTGCTGCGTGAGGATGTAGTTAAGTGTGATTTGGTGCAATGGAGTGTTTACAAGTTATACATGTGGGGTAAAGTACTGCTTAAAAGTTCCGTGATCATAGTCGTCATATATGCCGCTCAAAACCAGCCGCAGCCTGGCCTATGCTTCATTTTCCGGAGAAAAAACGTTTCCATGTTAGATTAACATTCGAGTGCAATGCTTCCTGGAGTTCAAGTATCGTTCTATCATTGTGATAGTGCCTGATCATTTCTCTAGTCCCTGTCAGACTTCTTCATTCCCAGGTTCTCACATTGCTGTGGAGGCGTGTTCGGCTCATGCCCAGCACCTAGCCAGTCCTGTGCGTTCTGTACCTTCTCTCGATGCCGTTGTGGTCGCGTGCTGCACCTGGTCATTGCTCTGACTCGTGCATGTCTTATGCCCAGTGCGCCTCGCCAGGGTCTGCGCCGTCGTCGATCCCCCCCCCCCCCCCCATGATGCCGTGCCCGGTCGGCCCGTGCGCACGTGACCCGGTCGGTGTCGTCGCCTCAGGTCCGGCTGAATAAGATCCTGGCGGTGAAGCGAGAGCACGTGGGTAGACTGGAGGCGATGAACACGGAGGCGGAGCGGGCGCAGCTGTACGGCCAGCCGCTGACCGACGAGTTCCAACGGCGCTACGCTCAGCTGGTGCTGCAGCTCGAGTCAATCAACACCCAGCTGCGGGAGACGACTACGGACGTGCAGCAGTCGTGTCAGCAGGTGGGTCACGTGACCAGCTCACAGCTGCCGCGGGAGACGACCACAGACGTGCAGCGGACGTGTCAGCAGGCGGTCACGTGATCAGCCCACGGCTGCTGCAGGCCATGTGCAGCCATGCTCTGCCATAGGTGGCAGTGGCCGAGAGCAAATGGTGACCATCATCCCAGGTCCGTCTTCCTTCAATCCTGCGGCGCCCGTGCCCGCCCTGACCGTGCCTCGGCGCCGCCTCACCGACGCCGTGGCCCAGCGGCGGCGGCCGCGCCATCTGCATGACACCGCTGATCGGTCGCCCCCCCCCCCCCCCGCAGATGATGCCGGAGAACGGCCTGGTGCCGGCCGTGCTGCCTACCCACATGAAGACGCTGTGTGACGAGGAGGCCGGCCGGCAAGTGGCCGCTGCGCTGGCCACGCGTTCGCAGCGCCGCCAGCCGGTCAGCGACGACCCGGCCGTGTTGGAACTCATCCGGCGGCTCACCTCCCTCCTGCTCCAGGTCAAGGTGAGCACGCGCCGACCACCGGCCGCCGGCCGCGCGGCACGCGCACGGATCAGGTCTGTGGTGCAGCTCAAGGTTGGCAACGGCTGGTTTGGTGGCAAACGTTGGCTTGGTTTTACACTACAGGGGAAGGCTGTATGGAGGGAGCTAATTTGTATCGTGCTGCTGGTCTCTGTTGGTAGGGTTGTTTCTGGTAGAGACGTCTATCTTGGTTTTACGTTATGGGGAGGGGGAGGTGCTGTTGATGTGAACGTGCTGGCTGGTGAGCCTGTGGGGGTTGTGTTCCCACATGGGGCTTGACAAATATCACTCCTCCTTTTTCTCGAGGTCTCCACAACGAATCTCGATAAAATGTTGTATGTACTCCATATGACGAGCTCACAGACTTTGTGTATGGAGTGACCCAGGTATGGTCATTCTTTGCCAGTGAGCATGGTTTTCCGAAAATGCATTACTCTGCATAGCAATATATCCCAAGTGAGCCCATGTACTGGACTATGATATTTTATTTGTGTTCCTGATACCTGAACTGTTGATTTGAGTGAGCAGGACCACAAGTTGACACATTTACACAAGCCATCGGAAATCTGTGTACATTGTTTACCCAGGACCAATGCTAAAACAAATCACAGAGTACAGATAGCAGCTTTGACATTTGTTCATTCAGTAATGTTGGTTGTCACTGGTGGCATCTGTACTGACTTCCCTTACACTATAATTAAGCACGTCTTTTGGTTCAAGCATTAAATGCGGATTTATATCTAACCCGAAGTAAGGTTTTAGAAGTTTTCCGGAAGAAGGTGGTGACATGATATTACCAATAAATAAGAATCCTTAACAAAGATGGCAAAGTGGCCTTTAAAGAGCGAAACACGCTGCCGACGGACCCTTGTGGTCTGTGTGATACGGGGCCATCCACAGTTCAGAGAGACAGCGGGATGACCCGGTGGCCCGACTCGTGGGGGATGCGCACACCACCCTTCAATCCGGGTCCGACCGGCTCGGCCGCCCATCACCAGCCCACAGCTGCCTTTGTGGCCGGTTTCACCTTTAGGGCATGTTTCAAAAACATGCTGTGGTGAAAACTGAGGACCTGTTACCGCCAATAATAGCGCTGAGTGGTGCCATTAAAGCATCATCAAGATCTGCTAAGGATATATATTTTAATTATTTTTGAGTCCAAATTGCACTGTCAACGTTCAGTAACAACACCACAATTCTTCCTTTCTTGGTAGCCTCAGAGTGTATCCCGAGTCCGCGTCAACTGCAGTTGTGGCGACCGCCGTCGTCGTGAGTACGGTAGAATCTGCTGGGGGGCCGCTGTCAACTGTTAGACGTGCCACTTTTGAACTGTTTTATTCCGCACATTGCGGGCCTGCGGGCTTAAAAGTGGCGCCTGTGCCGGTGTCGATGACGTCAGTACAAATGAACGTTTGTGATTGGTCCGGGGGCGTTAAGGGCCAGTTACCGAGAAGCATAGGTTGAAGCTTGAGCCAGTGCGTCACTATAGGCCATGTGATTCTCCCATTCCCAAATCAAAAGTGCGCCTCGAAAAGAGCCATTGTGGTAAACACCAATGAAGGAGAGAAACCAAAGGTATGATATAAGTGTTTTTAATTTGCGGAATGGTAGCCTCGTATTTGCATATCATTTTCTCTTAAACAGCGTTTCAAGCTTTCGTAGCATTTATTACACAAGCATTTTGACAGCGTTATGTGTTACAAACATTACGGAACTCAACCGGTGGAAAAATGAAGGCAAATTAAATGCATTACTTTGTTACATGACCGTTCGCAGTCGACGCGCCCTAAAACACCAAACAACCTTCTTTGAAAATGTTAAGCTGAGAGTCCAATGAAATGTCTCCCGCATGAGTGGCTACGTTGAATCGAAATTCTGGGCTATTCAGAAGGATTTCGAGAAAGCTGGTATTACTGATTTAATCAGACACTTATGATGTAACACAAACTAACAAGTGCCAAAATGTGGCATACTCCCTTTAAGCGACTTCGAACCCACCCCATGACGGGCGCTGTTGATCAGAATGCCTCTTTTTGATCTAACCTAGTTTTCGAGCCGGACAATCTCCTTTCATGGTCTGAGGATGTCGATTGGTAGCGCTTAGCGAACGTTTCTCCGAGCGGCGTTGAACTGGTTCAGCGCCTTGACGTGAGCTTGTGACGTCTGCCGCCAGAACTTCGCCGACAACGAGATGAACCCGTTCGAGCTGAGCTCGCTAGAGGAGACGATGCGCGAGATTAAGGCGTCGCTGCAGCCCGACCAGCTGACCGCCTTCCAGGACCAGGTGCAGGTGCATCTGCAGCACGTGCAAACGGCGCTGACGCAGCGCTGGAACAGCCGGCCGCGCCACTGACGCGCCTCCGCCTCCGCCCCGCCGGACCGGGCCTCGGGGCCGGACCGGTGCCTCGCTCGGGCGGCGGACCGGGCGGCCGTGTCGTGTCGGGGAAATGGTGCACCGTCTTTGGGTCGTTCTCATCAGTGGGGCACGGTGGCGTGGTGCGCCGCCTTTGGGTCGTTCTCATCAGTGGGGCACGGTGGCGTGCGAGTTGCACTCTTCCGCGCCGTGCTATCACTCGGCTGCAATCGACGCGTGGTCTGTAGGAGTGCCTGTGTGCTTGTAAGCGGTGAACGCCAACACCTTCTTGGGTTTGACTTTGATTTGATAAGCCCCTTTTGCACTCACCTTGTGCGTTGCAGGCCTGTTGGTGCTGTGCGAGCGTTGTTACGCGACGAGCTAGGCATGCTGGCATGAAACAAAGTCACGTACCCTGAATCTTGAGCTTCCTAATATCTATTTGGCATAGTTGATGTGTCTCTAATAGTGCAGAGGCATCCTGTCCTGACGTCGGACGAACGCCGTATCCTGTTGCACGCTCCGAGTGCTCCTACTTTAAGTGGGAACCATTTGACTCCATGATGAATCCATGGTCCGCTCGGACTATGCGCGTGTGGTGCCATCGCAAAATCAGAGGTCGCCTTAACCGACAGTGAATTACAAGGTTTGGCTTTTGTTCGGCATACATGGGCAAAGCCGTTTAACAACTAACTCGCATCCTACCCAACACTTTCCTTTAGTCTGCGCCTATCCCATAATTAGGATGCCGCTACGTGATTGGCGGTAAAGATAGACCGTCGCCTTTTTTTGTTCTGGTGTGATTTGCACGTAGCTTATGGCTGGAATGAGTGTAGGCATGTATGTGTGTAAAACTATATTATGGAGTGCTAATGGCTTGGCCTCAAGTACAAAGTGACGCTGTATATAACCGATACCATGTTTTCTGTATGTCATTGTGTGGTGTGAATCATGCATTCAATAAACCGAATAATGCTGTCACCGTGTGCATTTAGACTGGCTCGCGTGTGGGTGCCGTGGCACATAACGTTAAACAGCACACCGTGACACGACTACCGCGTCGTAATGGGAGGCCTTCGGGTGAGCTACCGGGAGCGCCATTTACTGACAATTCATGCAGGCCAGTAGCTGCGGATCTCGCGGGATGATTAGGCATTCGCGATGAGACCCACAACATGGTAGTTTTCACGTGCACACAGTGGTGAATGAAACTTGCAGGGAACAAAATTGAAGAGCAATCCTGTTATTGGTACAGGGACACACACGTATGACACATGAACACATGAACAGCGAAAGCAAAGTTAGGCGTGAGCTCGGTTAGCTATGCAGGCAGTATCGGGGTCTGGTGAAGGATCAATTCGATCCCCCCAATGGTTTTTCCGGAATGGTTTCCGAACGCTGTGGCTTAGCCGCGCCAAATTTTGCTTAGCTGCAGACAATTGAAGTGGATCGCCTGGTCTCCAAAATTTAGGTGTACGTTGTGAAATAGCTGACCTATGGCAGGTCAAAATGAAGTTATGAATTCAGTGAGGACAATTTCTAGGAAACCGTCCAATCTGATGCGACAACTGCATGTTAGACGATGTCATAGATCTCTGAGATAGTTTCTTAGGTAACACAGCAAATAAATAAACAGATTCCATTGACCTAGGGTCAGGTACGACGGTCAACCCAAGGTCAAATACAGCCATAGTGAAAATACAGTGCTTGAGAGCGCTTTCCGTCCTGTGCCTCCTTGCGACGGCCCGCTGAGACTCTGCGTTCCCCCAGGGAGCATGATCGCACACTAGTAGACGACAAATGTGAGGGACGTGTTGATGAGCTGAGTCCAGTATAGTGTGGAGATTATCCATAAGGAGGGGATGAGCCAAAAGGGAAGGCGGGTCCATTCAGCCCTGGAAAGCAGGTCAGTCCGCTTTGCTGACGTTCCAGCGAGGGTTGAAATGATGATCGGATCGCCCCGGGCGGTACCGTGATGTGAATGGGGTAGTGGTCGACTGTCCGTGAATGGGGTAGTGGTCGACCGTCCGTGAATGGGGTAGTGGTCGACCGTCCGTGAATGGGGTAGTGGTCGACCGTTCGTGAATGGGGTAGTGGAACAAAGAGTCTGGCTTGACTTGCCAAGTGAAGAGTGCGCGTTGCAGGCGACCGCGAGTGAAGGATCTATGGCGGAATACGTGAGCGGCTACCAGCAACTGCTGGGTGACACCTGCTGTATGCGGCCGCTCTTGCGGTGGGCCACCTGTGGTACGTGCAACTGAGGCATGGCCTGGGGTAAAAAGTTTTTTCCTTTTTGTGTTTCAAGTGTTTTGAAGGAAGACGTTTACAACCTCATTTTGGGTTCGACGTTGGGCTTCATGTGAATTCAGCTACGGCTCTATGGAGAAGTGAAACCTGCTAGCAATGCAGGGGAAGACGGAGTTGTGTCTTTTGGCAGAAGCCCGTGGGGTCAACCGTAATTATGACTACGCATGATGGAGGGGGAATGCAATTTGATGGAGCCTACCAAAAGAGTATCGATATGGTGACAATGCAGCACGCTTATTAAACTTTTGCAGTCGTTTCAATGCTCTTTTCCTGCTTGCCAATATCGTAGCCGGATGTTCACCGATCCATATGAGGGCGTGTTCGTCTTACGCAGCAGTGCAGCTATCAAGGCCGGATAACCCTACCGGTACAAGCAATGATGTCTGCTCGCACCGCCAGCACAAACTTATTTCACCTCGGATTGACCGAGGCAATAAGCATTGCTCGTGTAGGGTCTTAACGCGTGCAACGTTTATACCTTAACGTTTATTTTGCAATATCATGCAACCTTCAAGGAAAAAGGCCATGTATCAGGATGGGAAACTCTATATCACCAAAAATTTCCGGCCAACTTTTCGAGCATCAGAACTGACATGAACCAGCGTTCCTCATAGAGACCTGGCCTTTCAAGGTCAAGGACGGGGAACGCGAATATTTCCTGCGCTGTTGAATATTCTGATGCTTGAAAAGTTTACATCGGTCGATTTTTTGGTGGTATGGAGTTCCCCGTCATATGAGCGTGAATTTGACCTTGAAAGATGACCTTGGATGTCAGGACTTTTGGTGGAAGCTGGTCCATGCGCCGGGGAATATCCTGATGCTTTAAACGTTAAAATCAGCCGGTAATTATTTTGCCGATATAAAGTTGCCCGCCCTTTGAGTGTGAATTTGATCTTGACAGGTGACCAAGAAGGGTCGGGGCTGTTAACAGACGTTGGATCCTTTTGTGGTGAATATTCTAACGCTATAAATATTGAAATCGACCAGTAAGTTTGTGGTGATGTGGGGTTTCCTTTTCCTTGTCCTCGCTTTTGACCTTGAAGGTAACATGATATTACAAAATGAACGTCAGTATCGACGTCTCCGTGTCATAATTGGGCAGCTGCGTGTTTTCAACACAGTTGGCACCCGTCACGGAATAAATCACTGAATAAATCGCCAACTTCAGTTTATTTTATTTTCAGCCAGTTGACACATGTGCGGCGAACCTTCATCCCAGGGTGACAAGCTGGGATCTCTCTGGGGTCATTTGTGATGTTCTTATTCTAATTAACAGCTCACAGACACCATACCTTCAACGTAAATGGAAACAGCGCGTACCATACCGCAGGCACCCGATCAAACCCGCACTTTAACACCGGTATTCATCCGCAACACGCGCCTGAGGGAGGTCCTCCCCACCAGGTCACGCTTCGCACACACCAAGATTGCACATCTACATCATGTGGAACGCGCCCCACCTCTGTTGTCATTCCTCCATACTCCATACACTATCGCACGCTCTGTTATCATTTGCCCCAAACACCGACGCGCGTGCGAGAGACTCGCCCTTTACACAAACACGTGCTTCCACGCTACATTCAATTCTCGGCGACGCCCATCCAGAATTCCTGATGCTCCTCTTGGAATTTATACACATGAGACTTAACTGAGTATATTTTAAAAGTCAAGTACTACGAGATTTTCGCCCGCACTATTACCAATGTGCAGGTTTTCATCATTGCCAAATATTTTTTTTTCCATAGAACAAATTGACAAGAGCGTCCTGGTTGTCCTGTCCTGCAATTTTTTTCGGGTATAATGCGGCACAACGTGCTAGTTTTTTTCCTAGATTAAGTCCGGGTTACAATACATAATACAAGTTTGCGTCGGGCCACTTCGCTTCCACTACTGGCGAGCGGTACGGCTTTACTCACTGACAGATACGACCACAGAGTCAGCGGCCCGCCGTTTGCTGCGTGGAAACCTTTGCTGCGATCACGTGGCTCTGTCCCTAAAGTACGCTTTCTATGGTAAATGAAATACGTGTGTGACTGACGTTTTACTGTGGATTTGCCACCAGACGAAATTAGCGGAGTTGACATGTCTCTGCACATGTTTCTTGCATTGCCAGTGGATAACATTAAGCGGTTTAAAATAGCACAACCCACTTTATATTAAGGTCATCCACGTATGCATGAGACCACAGACGCGCTACTCAAATTACGCACCCCATTGACCGTGTGATAGCTCTCCGCCCACTCCTGACTGACACATGCAGCCTGCTCCGAGCAAGCGGGGTGCCGCGAAGATACAGGATGACCTGCTCTGGACAAGCAGGATGCCGCGAGGGTGCAATATGAAGCAAGATAGAGGAAAGCAGGGTCGGACGTGTAAATTTGATTTTGTTCTTTGGATTGGAGCCCTTTCGACCAGATGACACCAGACACCAGAAATGGCGCCAGAAATGATCATTCAGGGCTATGGGATAAAGGAAAATGGTTAACGGTGAGGCAGGCTTACATGCGCCTGGGGACCAAACGCCGAGCTTCAGACCGCGCGAGTGCGCTGGGTACCCGGTCGGTGTCCCCTTCCCAAGAGGCTCTCGGCCCACTCGTGGCTGACGCATGCAGCTTGCCCCGGATTTCGCAGTGATGCTGGATGAAGCAATGCAGAGGATAAGCAGGTCGGATGCAGTCACGTTTTGTGCTACGTATGAAAGGAAGTTGGACAGTGGTGCTAGTTGTCACAGAAATAAGACTTGTAATCGAATAACTTAAGAAAAGCTGAACGGATGAACGCAAGTAAACAATAAAAAATCGCGGATAAATGTGCAAGATCATTACAAGAAAGGGCCAAAACACGGGAGCAGAACATTTATGCTCTGGAAACGCTGCACCCATTACCACGACATCGCCCGAGGATTTCAAGTACAAGTGAGTTAGTCCGTCTGCTAGGGTGGCAATTTCACACGACCAGTTTGACAGCTTTTCTGACAGCAAGCAAACGTTAGATGACGCAACCAAACGATGACATATTTAGGAGCATATTTACTAACCAGTTAAATGATATTTTCTAAAGCAGTCTCCTGCGCTTAAAACTATGTTGTACATTTGAGGATATTGGTGCTTGACTCAACATTTTCAAATGTATAACCTTCCCTTCAACGAATAACTATATAGCATATAACGGTCAGCATGACGAAATCCGTGCACGCGTAGGAGGCCCCCAGCTGCGAGGTCCACTTTAGTCCGCCGCGTCGCCGACGGGGCTGAGCAAGAGCCACACTCCGTTGAACGCCTCCCTGTAGCCGACCTTCCGCAGGATGCCCAAGCTGGCCGCATTGTCTATGGTGGAGGCGGCGCAGGGGTGCAGGCCGAGCTCGACGCAGGCCCGGCTGAGCGTCGCCATGACGGCCGAGCCGTAGCCGCGTCCACGCCACACTTCCTCTGTGTGCAGCGCGCCGATCGAGCCGTCTTGCTTGAGCAGCGCCCAGGCGCGGAGGCAGCTGGGCGGCGGCGGCGCGGCTCCGGCCTCCGGCAGTGCGAACACGCCCGCCGTCAGGCCGGCGGCCAGCGAGCCGGCGAAGAAGCTGGCTGGGTCCACTGGGCGGATCACTGGCTCCCAATGATGCATCACCTTCGCCAGGTGCGTCTCGTGCAGCGGCTGGATCACCACTCCCGGCAGGCTGAGGAACACAGGTGAAGATCGTCGGCTGGATCAACACTGCCAGCAGCCTGGCAAATGCGCGTTTAACTTCCAGCGGCTGGATCACCACCACGTTCGGATTGACGTGCGCATGAAAAACTCCCAATGGCGGAAACAGCACCGCGCAGGCTATGACACCACCTTATAAACACCGCAGTTAGTGTTACACGCTGGCTGTTTTCACCGGCCACTGCAGACAGCACAGAGAAACAATGATGCCATGTCCAAGCTACGCGTGGTCGCCGCGCAGCTCCCGGGCCCACTCAAGACCCCGCATTGGAGAACTTACGGTTTGGGAGAGGCAGGAGCTTCATCCAGCGCGAAGACGCCATGCTCAAGTGCCGTGTGGACGTTAAACTTGAATTCCCTTGCCAAGGGGAGTAGCGTGGACATCATGTACAGCGGCAGGCTGGGCACGTACACGGTTCTCATCCACAGGCTCCGAGCAACCTCTGCCGACCTCAGGAATGCCTCCAGGCGGGACAGGTTCCCCTCGGGGGTGAACAGGTGGAGTATGTTTTTATTTGTGCCGCATTTCTGGAAATGCACAGTATGATTGATGATTCGAGACCAGGGGTAAGCGCACATGGATGTTTACAGCCACCAGCGCTTATTCAATATATTTACTAGTTTAAATGATATGACTATTGCTCTTACCAGTTGTGTCATTGGGCTGATGGCATGCCTGTCAGCGTGGACACCAGTGTTATTCGGGGCAGGCTTAGAGCAGGCACAGCACGCAAGAACTTAACAGTAAAAGAATGGCAAACTAGTCACTTCCATCGCATCAAACTCAGCCGATATATTGATGAAAAACATAAATCAGACTCAGTATGAACATCACCCGGCTCGCACGCGAATAACAGTGATTACCAATCACCAATGTGACAATAAATTGACCTAAATCGCATCGAACGTACCGCATGATACAAAAAAGTGACGATAGCTGCTGTGCCATCCGACAACAATCGATGAAAAGAGGCCCCCATCGCCCAGAGCGCACCACCATTACGTCACGACGACTTTTTGCTTTTAATGCAGTTTTCAGTTATAGGAAGCGACCTTCTTTAAAAGCTGCGCGATGTTGCTGCGTAAAAGCTGCGCGATTGTCCGTCCCTGTGGCTCAGTTGTCTCTGTTAGCGCCTGTTAGCGCGCCTGCCTCTCGATCCACCCAGCAGTGGCGGGGTGGGTTCGAGTCGCTTTAGGCACTCGCTATTTGCCCTTGACAGATATGGCCTGCGGCCGGTGGCAGCGGTCGCGCTAAAGGTCAGTTGACGCCAGGGGACAGGACGGACCGTGCCGAGCATTGCGGCACGTTAAGCTTTCGCCACTAAATTCTGCCGTTGTCTGGAATTTTGCGATAGGATTGTAGAGGTCAGGGCTCGCACAACAAGCACTGCTTGGCGCGAGCGCTGATCCCAGAAATCCATCCATTCAAAGGGTTCGGATCAAATTTTAAAAAAAAAATGTTAAGCCGCTAAGTATTTGCATTTAGACCGCTTGATCAGAGAAGTGCGCAGAAACACGAACGAAATGCCCTCCCCTCTACCCACCCTTTGAATAGATCCATGACTGCAGCGGGCTTGTTGCGACCGGGAACCGTCCAGCCAGCAAATCCTGGCGTCAATTCTCTGTTTTGAGGGTGGTTTGAACAAAGAACAAATAATAATACTGCATCTGAACAGCTCATCCACCGTCACGAGGAAGTCGGCAGTGCATGAGAATCGGGACGAGTGTCCCAATTCTCATGCATATCTATAGTCATGATTTTTTTAGGGGTCCTCCTGAACAAAACGAGGCCTCCTCACAGGGAGGACCTTCCACGCATTGTCGTGTTCAAGGGGAAGGGTCACCTAGGCCATGCATCCGCATATTAGAATGCAGCATGCACATATGCAGGTAAATAAATGTCGACAATTAAAAAATACAGAATGCACGGCTTTCTGATTAGCCAGCAAAGGGTTCCGCTATGCTAAGACAAGGCTACCTATTATAGGACAGGGCCTACTAGTGCGCAGAGGGGTCTCCTAATCCAGAACAGGATGCTTCTGATTCATAAAGGGGAATCCAAATTTAGCCAAGGGGCCTCGTTATCCTAATACAGGGCATCCTGATCCGAAACCGCGGCCAGCTGATGCATGCAAGGGGCCTCCTGCTCCAGAAATGGGGCCTCCAGAGCATGGAGGCTGCCTCCTAACCTAGAACATGGACCTCCTAGTTAGTAACGTGGGTGGAGTAGAGGGTCCCATGAGAGCAAGGGAGTCTCCTAACGTAAAATTCAGCCTACTTATTTAAAGCGTGCGGTACTTTATTAATAAAGGTGGTCTCATGATTCAGAAAATTGGATTTTTTGTGTAGAAAAGGGTCTTTTGAGCCCGATTTTTTACTCTATAACTCAGTTATGGGGTCTCCTTGATCGGTGTTATAGAAATGTACGGGACGCTTAAAAAGATGTCCCAAAAAACTGAGGGAGCAAAAGCATGCTTTTGCAAGGCCGTACTCTCGCGCCCTCCGCCGCCGTCGCCCCCCCCCCTCCCCCCCCTACTGCGCCACCCCGGTCATAACTATGACGCTAACTATACCTGCTGTGTTTAACGTAACAGTTGAACTACGCAGATGGGTTACAATAAATTATGTACGCTTTGGCGCGGCGAGAAAGGGAAGATGCCACCATGCAGCGCTTCTGTATGCGGAAAACTATCTTTGCTAAATCACTGGCATTTTTCGGCGTCTCGAAATTATTCTGCCCATTCACAATTCTCCTGCGTCCCATTGCTCCCCACTCTCCCTACAACTGACAAAATATCTGGGCACTGGTTTTTCTTACTACTTTTCAATTCACACAACTGAACAATAAAGAAGACCTCCTACCTACCCCGGGCTAGGAGCGCCGTGAGAAGACCACTAGGCACATTATCTTTCCAGGTGAGGGGCTGAAGAGTCTTTCCGTCTCAGCCCGGGGTCAGCGCGTCAAAACCAGTCCGGAAAAAGATGCCGTATAGGCCAAAATGTCTTCGACAAGACTCCGAAGGAGACCAAAATCAGCAAAACTTGAGATATCCATAACCAAAAGATCAAATGCCGGCAATAATCCAAAACTGACTGCAGGAAGTCGTTCGGAAAGGATGTCATTTTCCATCCACGGCTTGAAATTCTGGGACACTGCCCGGGGTATCTACCAGCTGTTATTCCGGCAATGCAGGGTTCCGCCCCGTTCGATCCGGGGGCCCGGAAAGGGACACATCACACATCGGTTCCATCCTTGACGCAAGAGGCCCTGCTGTTAAATCTAACACAGAGTCGAAGCCAGTCGTGAAAAATGACACAAAGCCTAAGTCGAGCCGGAGGCCATTGGAGGAAAACTGCGCGATCGTCGAAGCCTAAGCCAGTTTGGGCTCCAAGCCTGCCTTCATGCATCGTAACTAAACACCTCCTGAAATTTAAAATTGCTCCCGAATCCCCGTCGTCATCGAACACGCGTGAAGAACAGGGTTGATTATTCGATTTGGCGGCCCCTTTGGCAGTCAAAACGTCGACTATCGCCTGGTTGAAACGAATTGTCGGAAACATTTTGGGGTAGAAATAAAACCTCGCGATGTATGATGATGTATCAACACAAGAACTTACTTAATCCCTCAAAAAGTAGCTGCGACAAATAATACGGGGCTGGATATTGGCAGCAAATGTGTCGTATGTCAATTGCCGACTACAACACTTTTCCGTTGAAATTTTTGCAGATGTCAAGTCTCAAGAAATCCCTGTACCCCAAGCACGGGGGCTGCATGGAGCGAGACTGGGGGTGCACCTCCAATCCCAGGGAATGCACGGGCGCCTGGTGCACCTGCCTGGCTGCTGACCCGCAACGCTGCACCTCCTCCCCCCCCCCCCCCCAGACGTGTCATTCTCGGAGGGTGACGTGTCGAATGCCGTACCGCGTTCAACATGGGAGGGAAGACTTCGCGACAGTGACAGGTAGGAATGGCCGGGCTCAGTATGACCGGGCGGGGCCGTAACAGACACGAATGGAACCTGGTACGGCCGAGCTCGGCGGGGAGAGCGTGGCTGCCGTGCTGGGAGCGCCGCTGGCGGTGGCCGGGCTGGAGTCGCCCGTCGCCAGCGGGCGCAGGACGGGCTGTGGACCCTGCAGAGGAACCGTGGCCGCAGCAGGCCGGTCACGAGCTTAGGGTGACGTCGCACCTTCATCGGGTCCAGGTAGGCTGCCTCGACGCGGTCCACCGTTGTAGCTTCTCCCTTGTGCATGCGCTGGATGGTGACAGCTTCGAATGACCGCGTGCACATGCATGGACATAACTCAAAATGGGTGCTCACTTTGGTAAATTACCTGGATGATGAGGACAATAGGGTTGCCACCAGTTGCGCTGCTGTCGATAAACATCGTCACAGGCCACTGGTCGATCCTTTGCTTCAGGCGCTTTACAACAAACAAGATCTGAAATGCGTTAAATTGAAGCTGGTAACTCACATGCAGCATCTGGTGCCACCACCACCATCATCTGTGTGCTTATGCGAAACGAATGAGAGTCGACATTGCATGCTTCCACTTTTACTTCATTGTGTTCAGAATCAGAATCAAACCACGATTCACCTACATTTGGATGTAACAGGGCAAGATGTAATGCGTGACATTAAAGAATACAGTTAGTTGTATAATACAAAATGAGGTGATTTTCTCTAATAAGAATGTGCGCAATTTATCAAGTAGCACCCTATCCTAGTCCATGTGCAAAACATATACACATATATACACATTGCACAACATACACAAAACATTGCACGCTATTCTTATATCATCGGTAAGGAATTCGGCAACAGCACGAATCTTGATGGATAATGGGAGCCTTGCATTTTAATACGACACGTACGTACTTGCTTGCAATACGCACTGTTTTTATATAGACTTGATGAAAAAATATACATTGCAACTTATTCTATACTCGTTGTCATGACACGCTTTATGCCGCGCCACTCTGTGCCTGGAAAATGGCAAAAAAAGAACAGTGATCGAAGCAAACGGACAGCTCACCCTAACAGCAGCTCGCGGGGAACCAGACGACCTCAGCAAATGCAGGACCTTATCTAAATCCCCGGTGCGTTGCGGTGTCACCTCCATTTGCTCGCACCTATCCTGCTTTTGAGCAGCGACCCTCCACTTTAGGCACAGCGCGACACTCGTGCAACCGCGCCAGGACTGGCGATCGCGTCTCTAGGTGAACATCTCGACCTTCCACCAGCGTCACCAGGCTCTGGACGGGCCGTATCGGTGGCTGACTTTTGTACAAATAAACACTAGCCAGATTTACCAAAAACCACGCGTTTCTTGTTCCTCCCGATTTTGTTTTGACAAACTTGCCACGTGTATGCATGTCGCAGACGCTGAAGGCGTCGGAAGTGCTTGTGCAGGCATGCGTGTAACATAAGCATATATGGCAAATTTGCCGCGGAAGCCGCTCCGGCAGCAGATTGACCATATTGTATGTGGCACCTGGTTCGAGTGCCTGAAGAAGCAAACTGACTGACTCGACCACTAGTTAGTGGTCAGCTGGCACTTGGCCCGAGGGTCATCCCGGCAGGGCGCGGCCGTCTCGTAACATGTACTGAGCTGGAAAGGTCACTCCACGCTCCTGTCTGACGCGAGGCCAGCAAAAAAGTGATCCGCCGAGCTGATCTTGCACTAATAGGTGGCAAACTCAACACGCGCTCGGGTGGAGGTTGATTTGACCCCTGCGGTTTTAGGGAAGCATTTCCGAACGGCGCGACGAAGCCGCGCCAGACTTTGCATAGCTGTAGGCAATTGAAAAGCGGATCTTTTGGGACCCAAAACTAGATCTACCTTGTAAGGCCGCTGACCTATGACAGGTCAAAGTCAGGCCGTGGATGTCAGCGCAGGTAATTTCCAGGGAATCGTTCAGCCTGATGCGACAACGAAGTGCTAAGCGAGCCCATGCATTTTTAAGATATTTTATGAGGCACCGAAACAATGACAGTTTATTTGCAACAGTTTGCGTTGTAAAACATCGTAACTGTTGGTGGGGTGGGGGGACCACAACTACAAAAAAACCGAGTTAAGCGCTCTGCGGGCTGCGCAACATCACGTGTGTCGTAAAAGAGCATCACATATTTTCGAAATTTCCATTTTTCTGCGAACGTATACCAAAACGTGGAATTGAGTAAAAAAGCGTGTAATTGCGCGCCGACGATAAGTAAACACGAAAAGTAAACGTGCCAACGATAAGTGTCATATAAATTAAAACATATCATAAATGTGGCAAGGGAGACATGTACCCTGGTGTGCTACTATGTGCGCTCGCTGTGCGCTCCCGTTTTTAAATGGAGAGTGTGCTGCACGAGCGGCAAACCTCACGTCGTGTTCCGCAAGTATGCACTCTCACGGGAAACAAGAAACATCTTAGCACGATTACGCCTTCAAGTGATGGCATCGGAAGATGCTCGTGCTGCTCTCCGCATTTAGGGTATAAGGACCCCTTTCTTAGTCGTCGTTGGGTGTGCCGAATTATAATACAGTATGGTGACGACAGCCCTGGATTTAAAATACGGTTCAGTGGTAAATTTTCCATCCAATTGCAACACAAAAATGATGTCGAATAATGTAATCGACACATTTTGTGTGTTTTTTTCCGGATTTAAGTAGGGAAGTGAACATACATTATATATATATATATATATATATATATATATATATATATATACATGATCGTGATGTAGATGTTTTCCAAGAAAGTAGACCCTGACCACAGCTTCGTAATCCCAAATATGCTCACTATAACCATGACTTGGCGCATAGTGTCATTTAACAAGTACCTCCTCGCAAACTGAAGGTTCATTATTTCCAGCAAACTGCCAACTCATACTCCCAAAGCAACACGAGGGCAAGGCCTTTCCCGCTTATACCAACTTCAAGCTCATGTCCGTCTCGATAGTCCAGTCGCTGGGGCGCCTGCCTTTCGATCCACCCACCCGCGGTGGGGCGGGTTCTGGTCGGGCTCGGGCTCGTGATGGGGCGGGCTCGGTCGGATTCGGGCACGTGGTGGGGCGGGTTCGGGTCGGGTTCGGGCACGTGGTGGGACGGGTTCGGGTCGGGTTCGGGCTTGTGGTGGGGCGGGTTCGGGTCGGGTTCGGGTCGGCTTCGGACACGTGGTGGGGCGGGTTCGGGTCGGGTTAGGGCTCGTGGTGGGGCGGGTTCGGGTCGGATTCGGGTTCGAGTCGGAACAACTCGCTATTTGAACAGCTGTTTGGTCGTAGCAGGTATGAACTGCAGATGGTGGTAACGGTCACGCTAGAGGTCAAGTGACTTCGGAGGGCAGGATGAACCGTGTTAAGCATTCAGGCGCGTTAAACTTCCGCTACCAAATTCTGTCATTAACCTGGAACTGCGCGATTGGATGGTAGGTGTCAGAGCTCAAGCAATAAGCAATGCCTTGCGTGAGCTTCTGATCCCGGATATCCATGCATTCAGAAGGGTTGGGTTAAGTTTGTTACGGAAAAATATCAAAGCGCCAGTCACTCTATTTGTTCAAAAGGCCATTCTGTTGCTCCCCCCCCCCCCCCCGGCACTGGTCCTGACTTGCTCCGTCCTCTCAGTTGTCAACATGTCTGTTGAGGCCGTGAAAGTTGAGTTTAACTCTCAAGCGTAAGTACTCCCCTGACAGCGCATACGTTACATTTTCCGTAGCCTCTCCCGGAAGATGTGTCATGCGCACATTTTTCTCCAGCCTGCACGCGTCAGACCTTACAATTCTGCATATCGTTGTCTATTTGTGCCTCGGACCTCCTTCCATGAACAGCAGGCGGTGCCTTTTTTCGGTGATCACACCGGGCCGTCTTACTTAGATGTTTTCCGTGTATTATATCCAATTCTGTGTTTCTATCAAAGTTGCAGTTTCACATAGACTTGAAACGTTGAGTCATTCTGCGCAAAAAATCTATTGCTGGCAAAAGTTAAAAAAGTTTATCTTTGACATTGGGAACACAAGTTTAAGTGGCCGAAATCCGGGGAGAAATCATGTTTAGAGGGTCAGTTAGGTCGACCTTTTAGGCTGTCCCCCCCCCCCCCTTCTTCCCTTCAAGCCGATTCCAGAACTGACACTCCTGTTCTCTCGTAAAGTGCTCTGAGACAATCGCCAGTATGCAGGCGCGCAGCCACAGCCTTTACAAGGGAGTGAAACAGGGTCTCCAAAGAGCCCACTGATGGTAAAATCCCCCCCCCCCCAAACGCCGAATATGGATCGTTTGTTAATGAGAGTATGATTTCCGTCGACATTTTTTATTTTCAACACTTTAACTGGAATGAAAGGCTGAAGCTTCTGCAAGACAATGCTGTCTGAATTGTGTTGTCAGTCAGCTGAAGAAATAATGCATGAAGCGACTGCGTGAAATAAAACACCGGCGCTCTTAAGTTTAAAACGGTTCAGGGAACTCTTTCTAAAGTGATATAACTCGGGGGCTTTGCTAGAATCCTGACGTTTGGCTGCACAGAGATATCAAGGACCCCGAGAATATAAATCAAAATGGGTCAACAATTCGTATGACCTGGGGATGTTTAACACTCAGCCAGAATTTATTAACGATACGAATTACGCAACGCGGTTGTGAGCATGCGCGCTCCCAAATCTTAGCAACGAAAACCTCGATGTCAGGCGTTGCAGGCTCCTGAGTCCACGCAGCGTCGGCTGGTGACTTTAACGGATTGGCTTTTACGGCGCCGCGAAGTGCTATTAGAATCTGGTGGCAGAGCTGGAGGAGAAAATGCAAAATATGCATTTTGCGGGTTAGTTGTAGCTGTTAATCTAGTTGGACAAAACCCCAAAGCTGAAATAGACACGCCTAGCCTAACCTTTGAACGGTGCGATTTTTTGGGACATTCGGAAGCATTATTCATTTACGGTCGCTCTCGCGCACAATGCACCCGCCGCCTGGTGTTGCTTGCAGTGGCCAACGCCGTCTGGTGTTGCTTGCAGTGGCCAACGCCGTCTGGCTTTACGGAAACTGAAACCCAGGCCATTGCTGTCCTTGCTGCCGAGATTGTGAGTGCGTGGGCTCAAACCTTTTTGATGATTTATTTTACTAGTAGATTCCGCAAAAGAGTAAATGTTTTAAGGCAAACACGGAATGGCTTCGTTCGTTTAGGAACTCATTTCGACCCTCTCTATTCCACATTGTTAAGACCCCTTATTTCTTTCCGGGAAAGGGGCCGATTTGAGCAGGGCACTAGGGACACATCACTAATCCCGGTCAAGGGCGGAAGCGCCATTCCGTGCCACCGAGGGCGGTCTTCCAGCTGTCGTTCTAGTGACACAGGTGTGATCCCCTGACCGATTCGGGACCCTTAGGCTGATACATCATGTCGGAATTGGGTTGAACGACCCACCATTCAGTACACCGGGGCACCGGGACAAAATCATGCTACTTGTTGCGGTCCGTAGAACCTGAAACGTCGCTGAATAATACCAAAACACTTGGAACAAGAGCATAAAACTACGTCAGAGTCAGCAAGGCATATTCATCTTGTAATTCAAAACATGCAGCCATCAGGAAGAACAGAAGATGCGTAAGGAAACAAGGTACGACCGTAAGACCTTATGACGAGCTAAGGCAGCTGCACTCAGCTGGACATGATAACTTAGTTTGTACTTTCTTTGTTCCTTTTAACTGTGAAACGACTAGTAAGACCCTTCTTAGAAATTCATATCATTTCAAGCCCTCATTTTTAATGCCCTGCTAGTAGCATGGCTCCAGGAGGCTGGGGGCCATACTTACCGTTGGGGGGGGGGGGGGCAAATTGAATATGGGGTGGCCCATCTAAAAGAACACGAATCGACACCCGTGGTTCAGGGGCCCACGGGGCGGGGCTCCTGTGTCGTTCAGGGGCCCACAGTGTCTGACAGGGTATCCTGTGTCAGCGAGCGGCTTCGAGTCAGTCAGGGGAATATCTGCTCGACAGGGACGGGAACGGGAGTCCGAATGACAGAGGACCTCTGGTATTTGTTGGGGACGTCTGACATTAAAAGGAGACATGCTAGATTATGATGATGGTTCACATTGAGGCAATGGAAGGGCTCTGTGCCAGTCAGGGCCCCCAGTACTGAATATATATATATATATATATATATATATATATATATATATATATATATATATATATATATATA